AAAGAATAAAAAAATGTATTCTCTCTCTTCCATGTCATTTAGAAAGGGGTAAAATTTTTGGGATGGGGTTAGCCTAACTCCAATTATTATTATTGAAAAACTAAATGTTTGGTTTAACTGCACAATTTGGACTACTTAAAGCTTTCCATGACTGTGTTTATGGAGAAGGGCAATGCACAACAGACAGCAAAAATGAATCTCAGTGTAAAAAAGGTAACACACTTGTCCTGCAACTATCATCTTGTGTTTATCTCTTTATTTTCATCCTATTTATATTCAAATCTTCTAGTACAAGAGTCATCAGATATTAATGTTGCATACTTGCATGTTACTTTCTTGTGTATCATAACAATTCTTTTATAAAAATGGCATGTACCTAATGTTTTCTTGCTTATTTACAAACCGTGCAATTTCTACAGGAAGGAGCAAGCTGAGACTGGTTCTAATCACTGGTAAGTTATTGAACTTTGTATAACCCTCATGTATAACTAAAGTAATAACCACCTGCATTCACCTACTTTAATTTGTCTACATTTCTGCGGAAGTGAGAACCAGCTGTTAAGTTCTTTTTTTTTTTTTTTTTTTTTTTTTTTCAAATCTTCAGTACTTTCAGGTGGTTTAGGACTGAGCCTTGTAAGTTTAGCTATCTTTGTTGTTTGGCGACTCAAGAAATTGCCATTTTGTGCTTGCACGGATATGATAACTGAAATAAAGAATTATCAAGGTGTTGAAGAGTTTCTAAGAAACCATGGACCCCTTGCTCCAAAAAGATTCAGTTATTCAGAAGTAAAGAAAATGACAAACTCCTTCAAGGATGAACTTGGTCAAGGAGGTTTTGGCTCGGTGTATAAGGGAAAGTTGCACAATGGATGTTATGTGGCAGTTAAGGTTTTGAAGGAACTAAGAACCACTGGGGAAGAATTCACCAATGAAGTGGCAAGCATTAGTAGGACTTCTCATGTTAATATTGTCACTCTTATTGGGTTTTGCTTTGAAGGTAGAAAAAGAGCTCTTGTCTATGAGTTCATGCTTAATGGATCTCTTGAAAAGTTTATTTATAACAATAAATCTCTGACGGGTCGTCAGTTGGAATGGAACATGTTATATAAAATTTCAATAGGTATAGCTCGTGGGTTAGAGTACTTGCATAGTTGGTTGCAACACGCGAATTTTACACTTGGATATAAAGCCCCACAATATTCTTCTAGATGAAGACTTCACTCCCAAACTTTCAGATTTTGGTCTTGCTAAGTTATGCACCAAGCAAGAGAGCATTGTGTCAATCCATGGTGCACGGGGAACTATTGGATATATTGCGTGCTCCAGAAGTTGTTTGTAGGAATATTGGAGGAGTCGCTCAGAAGTCAGATGTGTACAGTTATGGGATGATGATTCTTGAAATGGTTGGTGGAAGAAAGAATGTTGATGTTGGAGTTAGTCGCAACAGTAAAACATACTTTCCACATTGGATTTACACACGGTTTGTGTTAGATGATGAGCTTGGATTGAATGGAGTAACGAATGAAGAGGAGAATGAGTTTGCAAGAAAGATGGTAATAGTTAGCTTGTGGTGCATACAAATTGATCCATCAACTAGACCATCAATGTCAAGGGTAATGGAGATGTTAGAAGGTAAATTAGAATATTTACAAATCCCACCTCAGCCTTACCTCTACTCTTCCACAAGATCTGAGGAACAACACTCATCATCTTCTGTGTATATTACCTAGTATACTTGACTTTTTGGTGCACTATATATGGTATTGCTTTTCATACATAGCAACATATTTTCATTACTGCGTATGATGCTAAGACTTGAAAGAACACGTTTTGAAATATATCTGTATGTTGATCAATCTTGTTCATAGTTAAATTAGTATGTTGTGAGTTACAGTGAAAGAGAAAATTTGTATGCTGTTTTATAGTCACACTAGCTAAATATATGCAATGTAGTCACGAAAGATGTGGCAGAGTGGGTGGAGTATTTTTTCATATCTAAAAGTCATGAGTTTGGTTATTACTAATACTAGTAGTTGTACCCGTGCGATGCACGGACATATGATATAGTAGTAAGATTAATCGTAGTGATAAAAAAAAATACAATAATAGTATATGAATTAATTATTAAAAAACGTAGAACATTGCAAGTGTTTTATACATTATTGAAAATTTCTTTCTATATGACATTTTTAATTGTAATTACAGATGGTACATTATTCCCACATATCAAAATTTTTAATCCCCTCAGATTACTTAGAAATGAGATTGCTACATACATTTAACCATGATTAAAGATCGGCTTTCTAAAAAACAAACCCACGTGTGATAATGTTTGACCTTGACTTTATTTATTGTCATGGCGTATGATAGTCTCAAAGAGAATTGCTTTCTTTGAAACTTGAAAGGCAATCTTGAATCGGAAGGTGTTAACGACATTCGAGGAATTAAAACCTTTGTTCATGCATTCGTTCCACACATGATTTGAGCTTCCAAAACATGAATAGCCAACCTTGTACCATTTCATAGTCCCAATGAGTGATCAATATTTCTCAATAGCATGACAGATGACCCAACTTGATTTCTTTCATTTTTTTTCCTAAATAATACAGCCCAATACTAACCCAATAATGCAGCTCATAACCCGAACCCAATAAAACCATATATAAAATGTTTTCTCCTAACTCTAAGACCATCTCTAACCATCTCCATCAGATTTTATATCAAAAGGAATATTCTCTGTATATTTTTACACCAATTTTTTTCATATCCAACCCATTACAACAATGTTATTTTATAATATTTAATAAACAAATATACTACTTAATATAATAAATTCTTGGCCCAAGCTTTATTTCATTCATATTTTGTTCAAAATAATCCGGTTATATAAACTAACCCATTAATGTAGCAAAACCTAAGACCATCTCTAACCGTATGCACCAAATTCTGCAACAAATTTTACACCAAAATTAATATTGTCAGTATATTCTTACACTTTGTTTTATAACTTTCATAAATATAATTAAGACTTTGTTTTAAGACTTTGTTTTACCAATTATTTTATTCCATAATAATAAATCATAGAACATCCATTACATTCAATTTTCAGATGCCCTGACTTTGAAGATGTTTACCTCTTCATTAGTGTCTTAAGTTTAACAAATAATCAAATAATTCAATTACACTTGCTTAAAATAGTTACGCAATTGTTTTTTTTTTTTCTATAATCAATTAATCATCGAATAAGATCATATCTGTTGTTTTATCTCTTTTTTTTTTTTTTTTTTTTTGGTAGGGATCTGTTGTTTTATCTCTGTTTTTTTGTAAACGACATTTTTAGTCATACTTACAGATGGTACATTATCCCCACATATCAAAATTTGTAATCCTTTAGATTAATCACTCTTGAAATTGCTACATACATAATTATATTACATGTCAATGATCCATACAGCACATTAACCATAAACAGAAAATAGATATGACATTTAATACCAATAAATAAATTCGTTGGTGTACATTGACTCAAAAAAATAATATGTACATTATTGAGAGCATACTATTAAATAATTTACTTCCAGTAAATAAATAATACAAAACATCATATATGAAAAATGTCTTATAAGAGTCATGGTCCACACATCTATAATTAATTCATTTGCATAAATTAGCCTACTTCATGATCAATCAAACAGTGGTTAAAAAACACTAATTTGTAGCCCTTTAGCTGTATTTAAAAATCCAAAAAAAAAAAAACAAAAAAACAAACTTCACTGTTCAATTTAGTTTTCTATTGCTGTGCCATAAAAAACAACTATAGGGCATCAGATGAATGTTCTATTGCTTTGCCATAAATTGAAAATGTAAAGATTCTCAAATACTTTAATTTTGAGAACTGTTTTATCAATTAGAATAATAGAAGATAAACCTAAGGCATCAGAATGATGTTATTCTCACTATCTGCCATCAACTTATAAACTTGAAGCAACATACTATATAGCAGCTTAGTGCAAGGCAGCTCAGTCTATATTCTATTATAATAGAGGCTAATCTTTCTAAGCATGGTGTTAAAAGTCAGTAGAATAAGAATATATTTTGGTTAAAGTGTTGTGGTTTCTAATGATTCTATATAAATCATAAATGCCCTACAAAGGTTTAAATTTCAAAAATCTATTTCTATTAAAATGCCTTCCTGACCGTTTTAGTTTCAAATTAGATGGTGATGTTAAACTCTGCAGCTCTTACGATGTCACTCAAGTATTGTTCAATCAAGATTATGAGGAGTTTGTCAATTTCAGGGAAAGGTAGGTTAAAATCCAAACCGTATCATGTTTCTATGTCTTATATTTGACTCTAATATTGGGTTTGATGTGAGTAGTCTTGCTGATAGAGAATTCCATACTCCAATGAAAAGTATTAATTTTCTGTCCAGTCCCAACTACAACAATGCAAATGATGGCTCAACAAGTCAACCATTTGAGGTGGTTACTATTAGTGATTTATATGACAGACAAGAGGTACTACTTAAACTAAAATTTGACTTTAATGTTGATGCTATGACTTTTTGTAGGGACCTATGCTGACTTAATTTAATTAAGTCAGTGCCTGGAAGATTAACTTAGAAAGTATGCCACTTTGTCATTGATTGACAAAGTAGATGGTTTGTACTAACTGTCAGACGTGATTATATTTTTCTGGGGAGAAAAATATACATAGAATGCAAGTACCACACAAACTCTGAAGTCAATTCTATCTGCCGCGATAAGTAAGCTGATGGGAGTAATACGATGACAAGATCAAAGGCAGAATGTACACCAACAGTGGCCAAAGAAGTTTTTTTAAATTACTTAGATTAGTTCTTATCTAATCTATAAGCATAGATTAGATCTATATTGTATTTTACATATTAGCAAGCAAATTTATGTGGAATACAAATAGAAGTCATTTAATTATTATAAATACTGGAACTCATTTTGAGTAATGCAAATAAAAGTGTGTCAAGTAACAGGTAAATACAAATACAACTATTTCATGAGTGATAGAATTAACACTTAAAATCTCATTTGACCAACCAATTACCAATTACTAAAAAGAAATACTTACTACATGAATCTTTAAATGTTAAGTAACACATTCCTGATGTGAAGTGAAAACTCCTGTTGAAAAAGAAAGGAAGATTGTGTTTCTGAGTGTAATCAATGATCACTTGAGCAAACAAATTGTGTCAATAAACCTTTACTAAATGAAAGTATAGTAGTTGAATCACACAACTAAAATGAAGTTGAAACATCATATTTAGATTTGGAGAAAAGCATAGGGCTATTACTGTAAAAAAAAAAAAAAAAAAAAAAAAAAGTTAAGAATGAGTTATCAATTCTAAAATAAAAAATTAGATAAAATAAAAAGGACAATCCAAAACCAAAGAAATACTGAAATAGATAATTTAAAAATGAAAATACTGACATTTTGATGAGATTAGTTTCAAGAATACATTGATGTTGCGCCTGAAGTCCAAGCTAGAATGTTGACTCTTGTGTGTCAATACTCCATCAAAAAAAAAAAAAAAATTGTTAATGAAGTCAAAAACAAAGTTAAAGTACAAAGGGAATTCAGAAATAAGAGATGACAAGTACTGTCCACTTTTTCAGATGAATTCCTATCAATGTCAACTAAAATAATGTCATAAATCATAGTGATACAATTAACGTTGTCTCATTAGAAGTTAATACACAAACATGTGATATACCTAAACTAATACTATACACAAAATCATTGAGCAAAGAATACTCTTTCTAAGTCAATGAGGAAGATAACTTCATTGGGAAAGGAAGAACACAATAGCTAACAAAGATAACTCTTGAAATTTGTTAACCTTTCTTCATGTTTCTCTTAAAATTTTGTTCACCTTAGAAGGATTTCTCTCTTCCTGAAGCTATCTCCAACCTGTTTCTTCAACAATAGAAAACAAATTTGAGGTCAAACCAATGTTTAACATGTCAAATAAGTAATCAAAAACACGATTATTAACATAGGGTAAATAGCAGAGAGATCTAATCAATCAAAACAATTATCTATGACAACTCAATACCAAAATAATCTATGACAGCTCAATACCAAAATAGCAGAGATCTAATCAATCAAAACAATTATCTATGACAACTCAAAACAATTATCAAAAAACATGATGAAATTACAGATCATCAGACAGTCAATGGCAACTTATTTGCTGTTACCATTTACTGTATGAACAGGGTGATCGTAATCTAAGATCATTTAGAAAAAAATTAATAATAAAAGGCATCAGATTAGTTATAATCCTCACCTTCCATACAAAGTTTTGGGAACAGAAATCTTGAGAATGGTATCAGAATTCTATTTTCATCATATGCCAACAGTAAATAATTTTTTTCAAAATTAACAATAACCTGTGAGTGATATAGTTGAATTTTTCATCTTATGCTATCAATACTTGTGATAAAACAGTTAAACTTAAACCTATGGCATCCGAACTCTTATTTCATCATATGCCAAGAAATTTGAAACAACAGTAATCATTATGGCATCAGAACTCTGTGTTATAATAAATGAAATTTGAAAGTAATCATTACTTATTTATAAGCATTTAAACTGCAAATGAGAATGTGTACGTGATTCTATAAAAACACAGATTTGCAGCAATTGGAATGAAAACACAACAACAGTATGAGGCAAATATTTGGTTCAGTTATTATAGGCAGCAAGAGGAAGCATAGCATATCAGACAAAGGTAACATAACACCACATCAGTTCAAATTTAGATTTTTACCAGTTACAACTTATTTGAGCTTCTGAAATGATCTTTCCATGCCTTTGTCATTCTTGGCTGTATATATGTTCTTCTTGGCTGCACTGAAATATGTATGTATTCATAAATAACTTTGTGAGCTTGCATGTTCAATATTATGGAAAAAAACAGTATATATATTGTTTCATTCATAGAAAAAACCTACGATTCTGCCAATTCCTAGCTAAAAACCCCGAAATAGAGTATTTACGAACTATTATTCCTAAATTATAAAAAACCTAATTCAAATAAGAGCATCATTAGAATAGTACTGTTTTTTGGCAAAAAAAAAAATGTAAAAGCAATATAAATTTGGAAAAAAATAACTTATCTTAAACAAAAAAAAACATGAATCGCCGGAAAAAAATCGAGATGGGTTAGTCGGAAATGATTTACGACTATAACTCGGACAGAACCTGAGACTCGATCAGAGTTGTGTAACGAACCTTTCTTAATTATAAGGTTCAAAACGCAATGTTTGATAAACAAGCAGTTAGGGCAGTTAAATAAAACGCAGCGTTTGAGATAGAAGTAGTTAGGCAGTTGTAAGGGTGAAAAGTCAAATCTGCCCCTGGCCGTTACTGCTTAAACTACCCGACTGTAACCGTTGTTGTTGTTGAATGAATATACATCACTTTCCTTTTCTCTTCTATTAGCAATTGTAACAGTTGGTATCAGAGCTCATGACGAACACACGCCGCGACTTCGACGAAGCTGCAAGACACATCACTGAGATCCAAGAACAAGTTCAGAATATGCAAGTTCAGATGAACGATAGCCAGAGAGCTCAGGCAGAGACCTTGGGAGCATTCCAGACAGGCTTCCAGGCGTTCCAAGCTGAGGTTAGGCAGTGAATGAGGAACATGACGGCTCCGGGACCCGTCGACCCGCCACCGGAAGTCCATACGCAACATTCCGAAGCCGGAAACACCTCCATCAACCCCCAAATCAGGATCAATCGCCCCTCCACAGGTAACCGGCAGATCCCTAATCTTGTTGATGTTGCTTCTGGAATACAGAGGGGGAATGCTCAGGATCCACCTAGGCCATTGCTGCGTAACAATGAGGAGTACTTGAGAGCTCCTAAGAACAGAGCTAAACAGAGCATACAAAAATTCAAAGAAAGCTTTCCATCTCAAGAGCTAAAATTGATATATTCTTTGTGAGATAAACACTCAGAGTGATACAGAGCTTACAAAAGAAATATCCAAGAGTGTTAAAATCTTCATCAACTACAAGAGACTCAGCGCACCATTGAAGATCATCTACAGAGTCTCAAAGTTGGAAACAAGGCAAAACTTGTTTTGGAGCAAAACAAGGGAAAGGAGGAAAGTAACACGGAGTTGTGAAATCCTGGATTGTCACACGGAGTTGTGAGATCCGAAGCAGCAGTGTCGGAAGACATTCGGCGTGATTAGTGCGGGCTTTGTGATCAAAGCACTAGATCACAGAAGGATACGTTTCTACCGGATCGTAGAAGACAGGGGGAAAGTAACACGGAGTTGTGAAATCCTGGGAAAGTAACGCGGCGACGTGAAACCCGAAGCAGCAGTGTTGGAGGCACTGGGCGTGATTAGTGTGGGCTTAGTGATCAAAGCACTAGATCACGGAAATTCATTGTATCTTGGAACCAAGAAGTGGTGGATATAGTGAATTGCTCTTGGAGATAAGAGCAAGTGGAGTAGGAGGATTACATCACCTCGCGAACCACTATAAATTGCCTTGTGTTCTTTACTGCTTTCTTTACTTACTGCTCTTGCTTGCTTCTCACGAGAATAATCTTGACACGATCTACACACACACCGTATCGTTTATTATTTCCGCTGTGCACCGGACTCTAACAATCTAGTTAAGAGTCTTGGTATCTCTGCTGCCTCTGCAATTGTTGTATTGTGCTAAAAAGTTGGAAAGTCTATTCACCCCCCTCTAGACTTTCACCTTACCTCTTTTGGGACCAACAATTGGTATCAGAGCCGGTGCCTATCCGAGTCAGAATTTGTCTCTAACTGATACCAACAATTGGTATCAGAGCCTGTAGCCTATTTGAGTCAGCTTGGTTTTGACCAATACCAACAATCGGACAAAACTAGTTGCCGCTTTGGGTCAACCTGTTTCTGACTGCTAGGCAGATCCATCTTACCCAGTGTGTGTAAATTGGATTATTTATCTCTCGCACTCACCGAGAAGATGAATAAAGATTTAGCTCAAAATATGTTATTCTCGCTTGATAAATTTGATGATTGGAAAGTTCGTATGCAGGTTCATCTATCTGCTTTACATGATGAAATGTGGGAAGTTATCTCTAACGGCCCGATCGAAATATTGAAAGTAAATACGGCTTTTCTTCTATCACCGGATGCTCAACAATTCGTACCAAAGCCAAAACTGGAATGGACATCGGATGATAGAAAGAGGAACAATCTTGACAACATTGCCAAAGATATTCTGTTCAAAGCCATTGATGATACAATATTCCCAAAAGTTCGAAAATGTACAAGTGCAAAAGAAATTTGGGATACTCTCATCAAGATCGGAGAAGGAGATGAACAAGAGAAAGATAATAAGCTCACTATTGCTATAAAGAAGTTCGAAGACTTCAAGATGCTCTCAAACGAATCCATTATTGATATGGAAGCTAGAATGATCAAAATTCTTGGAGAAATTAATGACCTTGGCAAAAATATTAGCCAAAAGGAAATTAATCTCAAAGTTCTACGAGGCTTACCATCTATATGGGACATGAAGGTTACGGCTATGCGAGATCACCGAGATCTAAGAATTTTGTCAACCGACAAATTATTTAGTGATCTAAAAGCATATGAGTTTGAAATGAAAGCCAAAGATGATGAAGCGCATGAAATTCGAAATCCAGCTCTAATGGCCGAACAACCATCAACCTCCAGGTCAGTAGATAATATTGATTTTATAGCTGACGAACAATTTGCTCTTTTTGTGAAAAAGTTCAAAAGGTTCATGCGAAAAGGAGACAACAAAAATTCTGCTCGTGGAAAATTCGTCTCTCACACGTCACAAGAAGAAAAAGTTGAAGAAAACAACAATTTATGCTACAATTGCCGCAAACCCGGACATTTCAAAATAAATTGTCCGTATACGATCGTTAGCAAGTATCAGGCATAAATGTTGAATCTACACCGAATAAATCCGAAAGCAAAGATCGAAGGTTCAAGCGCGACAAAAGAAAAGCTCTCGTTAGCAATGAACCAAATGAAAATGATGAGTCGAATGGATTTTCATCAAGTGATGAAAGTTCAAGTTCGGAAGATGACACGGCTCTAGTATGTAAGTCAATTGAGTTGAGTTCAAGTGAAGATTGCTTTATGGCTCTTGGAGCAGAGGAAGAAGAGGTAACATCTAATTCTTTCAATTCCGTTAGTTCCTCTTTTTCTCGTGAATCTATTGACAACCTAATGCGAGATTGTCAAGAGATTATGCTCACTCATCCTCAACTCAAGGAGCGCAATAATATTCTAATTCTTGAAAAAGAAGAGATGAATAAAAAATTGCAAGATGCTTTACTTGAAGTGAGTAACTTGAAGAGTGAAAATATTCAACTTCAAGAAGAGTGTAAAGCAAGAGAGGTTAGAGAACATAACCTTCGGGCTACCATTGCTACGTTTACTAATTCGTCCAAAATTATGGATAAAATGGTAGACATGCAAAAGCCATCAGGAGATAGAACCGAAATCGGTTATGACTCCAATGTTCTCAAACCCCTCCGAAACTGACTAATCTTACTACTCCTTTAACCAATAAAGTGCAAGTGGTAAAATTTGTTAAAAGTTAGTATAGCACAATGAGATAAGGACTTGGCTATCATGAGAAAGCAAAGTTGAAT